TATTTTAATTTTTCCTTTTTTTTTTGAAAAATTTTCTTTAAATTGATTATGAAAAATATTAGCATTTACTATTGATTAAGCAGTGAATTAGTGATAATAAAAATTTATCGTTTTAAATATTTTAAATGAATGAAGTCTTTGAATTATCGCTTAAATTTAAATTCTTAAAGTGAAATTCATATATATATATATATATATATATAAAGATTAAACTACAATTATGCTTACTACTGATTAAGCAGTTTTATTTACTACTAGCAAATAATCTTTATAACAATGATTATCGAATATTTGTAATCAGTTTGATGAATTAAGTTTTACTTTAACTTAAGCAAACTTCTAGGATGTACCAAAATTCTAATCAAATGATGGATTTATGACACAATAGCAACCATATACTGTTTCAAAATAATGTTTCATCGCTTTCAATTATAAGTCAGATAATCAAATATCAGTTAACATTTCAAATTTACAAACTATTCTATGCATGGGGTTTCTTTAAAAAAATGTTAATTTCTTAATCTACATTATTTCATAATGATAGTACATTTCTCTTCATCAATTTATTATCGACAATAAACTCCTCATCATTGTTATCATTAACAGTGCAATATATAAGATTTAAACAGCTTAGTTGAATACTTCAAATACGCAGAAATGAGAATACGAAGTTTAAAATTTGATGATGCATTTTTCATCAAAGAAAAAAGAAAAAACTCGATGATAAATATTTAAAAGAAAAGGAGCACTAAGTTTAATACGGTTCATAGACATTTAAAATATTTCCTCATGTTGAATAATTCTTAACAATTATTGGTTAAATTCTAAATTTAAAAAGTAATACTTTCTTTTTTTTAATGCAATTAATATCTTTGATATTACTTGCACTAGTAATTTTGATGTTATATTATTATATCATCTTATCACTTGCATTATAATTATCATTTGTTAATATATCACTTTCTTTCGATTTATTTTTTGTCCATTTTAATATTTCAGTAATTTTTGAATGAAAATTTTACATCACATTTGTAGTATTGTTGTTGCTAATGTTATTAGCAATAAAATAGCTGAATGAATTGTTTCAATTTCAAATACTTTTTATTTTTTTTTTATCATCATCATCCCTTATTTTTTCCTAATTATTAATCATTGAATTAAAATTTCTAGTATTTTATCATTGCTAAATCATCTCCCATATTCTCTCATTTATATTTTTCAACATTCATCAATCCCTATGATCCTTATCATCTTTATCATTTATGAAATAAAATTTTACTAAGCCTTTACTATTTCAGCAACTTATATTTTTTCCTATGTATGAAATCTAAGATGTAAAATTTGTTTAGTTAAAAATCTTGTTAAATTGAATAAAAATAACTTGCAGTGACCATTATTACACGGGTGTGTATGCAATTATTATTGGCCTTGCGTTCCTTTTGCTCTTTTTTTTTTTCATTTTCATTGTAACTACTCTTTCTCCTCTTCTTTCCTCTCCCTTTTTTCCTTCCTCTCTTTTAATTCTTTTCAATATAGTAATACAATTTTTTTTTTATTTCCTTGTTGATGATTGTTAGCTAAAACAATTTCCTGTTTTTAATGTCATAAATTCTAATTTTCAGAATTGTTACTGTTATATTTCTATATTGTTCATTTATTATTACACATTTAGTATTGTCATATTAAAGTAAATAAAACATTTCACAATAAGGAATGATTTTTTTTTTTTTTTTTGCTGGAAAACTAGAATATCTTCTCTTTTTTCTTTCTTCACCTCCTCATCATCCATCAGTTTTTCTTTTTTCTTGTTAGTTTTTATTTGTAATTTTTTTTCGAAGTTTTTTTTTTTTTTTCGCATAATTACTTCTTTTCCATTTTTAATGAATTTTATTATATGAAATTAACTATTATGCATGATAGGTAATGAAAAGAATATGAAATTATAGAAGAAAAAATTTTTGAGAATTTTAAAATTAGAGAAAAGTTTCAAGAAAAAAAAATTAAAGAAACTTATAAACATAACATTCTACACATATCAATCTATCACAGGAGGTAGAATCAAAACAGCGCTGCTATCATTCAATTCATGAATTATTAGAATAAATATTCAGTCAATACTTAAATTTAGATCACAATATGATCTGTCTAAAGAAGATTCACTCAAAATTTCTCTCTTTCTCCCTTCTTCTTTCTCATTCCAATCATTTGCACAGTACAAATTGTAATTATTATCAAAAAAAGAAAAAAATTTTTCATTTTTTATATCATAAATTTCACTATTTCAATTATTTTGTAAAAATATTGCTAATAAGCGAAATAATTTTAACAATATGCTAATTCATTTTAAGTTTTCAGCTTAACTTTTATAGCTTGTTATTGAAATACTTCAAATATATTCTTCTTTTCTCACCTTTTCTTTTTTTTTTTTTATTTTTTGTTATCTCCTATAAATCCGTATCTTAGCAACTATAAAATAAATTACATCTGCAACTATGAGAGTGTTAGATTTCATTTTTATTATCGCTTATAAACAAACAATAGAAGCTTTGAATTCATATTTGTGTATATGCTTTATATGATAATCAGAATTGATGTATGTATTTATCTGATGATCAAATATATATGACTTTTTTTTTTAGACTTTATATCTTTTATTTCATTTTTTCCGACAAATTCTTTATCGTTTGTGTTGATCATATTGTTCTGTAGTTTTTTTTTTTTTTTTTTCTTTTTCTTGTTAAATGGGCCATGAAGTGATTTTGTAACACGAACAAAAACAAGGAAAAAAAAAAAAGGAAAAAAGGTAGAGAAAAAAAAGCTACTGACCTTTCGTAACGTGGCACAAACCGGAACCGAATACTTTTTTTTTCCAAATTTTTTTGTTGGTTTATACCCGGTTAGTCTAATTTTTCTTCTTTTCCATCATTTTTCTCCTCATTCCTTCTCTTCCTAATATCCAATAATATATTTTCTTTTTCATTTCCAGTTATGTATATGATAGTAAAATTTCTAATATTCTAAGATTAATTTTTAGAAAGATTGTTTCGCAAGATTACAATTCGACATCTGAAATAAATGACAGAATGAAAGAGAAAAGAGGTAGAAGAGGACGAAGCGGAGAAGGAAGGAAGAGGAAAGGACAGCAACGTTTGGAAGACCATTTTGATGGGAAAGGAAAAGCCTGTGTGGGACGAGCAAGGTGCGGGAAAGAAAAACGAGGGAAAAAGAAAGAGGCAAGCTAAAAGAGAGAGCCAAATGTCTTTGATGTGAAGCAAAAAGCTTTCCAGTGTGAGATTGTCACATATACGTCATAGAGAGATGGACGGATAGATGGATTAGATAGGTCAGATAGGTAGATGGATCAGATAAATAGATCAGATAGATAGATAGGTAGGTAGATAATGAGAACATTAAGGCTTAATTTTAATGCTATCAAGTCTAAAATAGCGACAACAACGGTTGAATAAATAAAAGGAATGATAGATGTTGGCTTAATCACTAGCTTTTAACTTTTAAATTTATGCTTGGATAATTTTTTTCTTTTTCTTTTTTGGTTTTTTTTTTTTTTACACCAATTGATCAGTATTAATACATTTATTTAGATGATGAAGAAAATGATAAAAATTTTCAAATATTTATACTAAAATTGTATCTATGTTTAAATCTTTTTTTTCATTTTAACCAAATTTGCAATTTAAAAAAATGGCAAAAACAAAACAAAACAGAAAACTGTGGTAATAAAAAAAAGTTTTGACCTTGACCTTTACATGAAAAATTGTGACTAATATCAAATTAAATCCTTCCTTTTTTTTTGATCGTCATTGGAACAGCAATCTAATTTGCAAGAAGAAAAAGGATATAATTAATTTAGTAAATCTAAGAGAATGAAAAATTTTGCTGCATAAATGAAAGTTATCTTGTAAATAAGTATATAAATAAAAAGAAAAGAATGAAAGACTTCTACAAAACTATTGTAAATGTATAATTTAATAATTTTTTTTTCTCTTTAATTTTTTTTCTTTTTTTAATAAAAATAAAATTAAAGAATAAGAAAAAAAGAAAAGAAATTAGCTATGAAATAAAATATATGATGAAAAGAAACTAACATTATTGATGCTAATTTTACTATATCTGATGTATTTAACCTAATTTACAATCAACCTCATTTTCCATCTTCTCCTTCTTCTTATTCTTCTATCATTTCGTACAATTTTCATCCTTCAATCAATTTCATCCTACTGAAAGACAATTTTTGCAATGAATAATGAATTTACAATAATACTAATGCATTGATTCAGTATGATTTTAAACATAATTACCATTGACAATCTTTTCAATGTGTTATCTTTATTATATCAAATTTAATAATAATAAGAATTCATCTTAGATTAATTGTTGACACATGCACACACGCATACACACACGCACACACACACAAACATAGACAGACACATATCTGAAAGTTTACCTTTTTTAAAAATAATGCCTCGATTTATGTAATTATTTTTGAAAACTTTTTTTCCTTTTCTCTTAATAAAAAAAATATCTGATACATTATTTATTAAATTATTTAATCAAAATAATTTTGTTATTGTTGACTAATATAATGTATTAAAAGGAAAAAAAAAATTCTTTAACCAAAAATTTTTCATTAATCATCCCCTTTCTTTTTTTATTACATCACTTACCACTAATTTGAACATTTTATATGTAAAATTATTTTACAATTTGATGGATTAGTTTAACATTGAAAATGTATGTTTAATTTCATAAATTGCAATTTAAAACATTAAAATTAATATGTTTTAAATTGCTCTTTTTAGATTAAATTTCCACTTATTAATTGCTGAAATAATTAAAATTGAAATTATCAATTATTTTTGTAATGTACAAAAATTGTGATAATTGTGATGATGACTTTTCCTATATCAGTAATTTTCATCTTGTCTTTTTTTAGGTAAAAAGTTGGTGGAAGTGATAAATACAATGGTTGATTCCTGATGGAAAAATTGGTGACAAATATTCCGGATGATAGTAACGGATATCAGTGCAATAATTTTTTAGTAGAGGAACAGAATGATCCCTTGACTGTTTACTTCTATTCATTAGTGAAAAAATTCATTCGTTTATTTTCTAAACCATTTCCACATCAAGGTAACTTTGTATATGTTATCAGGTTATCAGCACTTTATCATTATGTGTTCATGATTAAACTTTGTGATTAAATTAGTTATATTTATTATTGTTTCTTAATTAATTTTGATTAAACTTACAAGTTCACGTCTTTAATTATTTTTTTGCTTTATTTTTTATTTAGGATAAAAATATCTCATGTTGAAAAAATATTTATACATTCGTTTTTTTTCTCTTTTTTTAAAATTATTCTTGTACTTTTATTTGTTGGCACTAACTAATTACAGTTCTTATCAGTCGAAAGACATTAGAAGGTAATTGGAGCGATTTTAAGCAATCATTTCATACAACTTACCGACAGGTTTGATTTCAGTATGTTAGCTGAGAAAATTTTAAAAGTTAACAAATATTACGGAAAGTACATTTATGTAAATGCAGTTAAAAGCTCGAGTAACGTAAGCGTGATATTACTACATGATATTAATATTACATTAAACGTGACACTACTTTGTCTTAGAATTAGATATAAAGTAATTCAATGATAAAATGATTTAACGTATGTGATCAAATGCAAATTAAAATTAGACTGAAAGTTGTATGATATTTCATGAAAGGTTTTATCACACAATTGTAGTAATATTTTTCAAAATCACAAAAAAAAATTTATATTTATTTATGTTTATTTATTATCAATTATCAATAATGAATATTTTACAGTGGTTAGATTATGAATCTTGGTGGATTGTACTAAGTACACTAATTGTTATTACAACTCTCTTATTTTCTCTCTTGTATATATTCTATAGTGCGGTAAGATGTTGTATTGCATCAAGTAAAATAAAAACAACGGATAGAAGATGTGATTGCTGTAAACGCCATTTGCTCAATATTTTTATTGCCGTTTTCGTCCTTATAGATGTGTGAGTAATTTTTACTTTTAATTTATCACAAAATTTATTTTATCTTATTTTTTAAATAGCTTTTTATATTAACAATTCAAATTTCAGACATTTTTTTTTTATTTTATCATTTTCAAAAGTAATAATAATTTCAAAATTATAATTGCTATAAAAATTTCATTGCTTTACTTGATTAAAATTATGTAATTACTTTAATCAAATAAATCATATATAAATACTAAATCTTTTAGATAACATGCATAGAATGTTTAAGTAAAAAATATAATTTTTTATTACCATCAATTGTTAGATGAAAATTATCGATGAAAATTAATTTTATAATTTCAAAATGATTAATGACAGCTTAATATTTAATGATACTATAATACTTTATAATTTGATAAGAAATATTTGTTGTATGTGCAGTTTTGCGGTATCTTCATTGCTTATCAGTAGTCAATATGCGGAATATGGAGCTGATGAACTACCTCGACGTCTCAGTTATTGTATAGATGATCTCTCGTTTTATAAGAAAGAAACGGATCAAGTTTGTTCATCTTTTACTTTTTTTTTATAATAATTAAATTAAATTTAATCAGTAATTTAGTGGAACAGAATCGACTGAGATAAATACACATATACATCATTAGCTGCCGTTAAAATGTTATTGACAGCTAATTAGATACATAACAAATATGTTAAAAATATTCCACATCATTGTGATAAAATTAAAAATTTGTCTGAAATTAATAAATTTACCTAAAATGAATTAGCATGCTTATTAGTTTATTATTTATTTTAGCTTAAAAATTAGCCATAATTATATTTTCTTCTTTCTAGCATATTTGCTTAATATGTAAAATATTTGTTTTATTAAGAAATCTATTAAATAAATTTAGAGAAACTTGAAATTTTTATTTTAGAAAATTCGAAATACATTAGTTGATGATTTCCAAAAATTAAATGAATCTTTGTCATCTCTGATTGCCTCAGGCGGTAAACCAATTGTGCAACGTGTCAAAAAAATTACTGGTGCACATGCCATGGATTCGTTTCTTAATATTTCCATTGGTTAATTAAAATTTTGATCCAATTTTCACTATAAAAATGTTATAAATTAAATTTGTATCAAAATTAAAAAATAATAATAATGATATTGCAGTTTTATGAATTTTTCTTTTTTTTTCCTGAAATATCCACATTAACAGCAATGCCTTTTCTTTCTTTTTAATCTAATTTTTATTCAATTTATGCTTTCTTTTTTTTAGAGGCTCAAGAATTGCTTAAGCGTGTAGCTGATGATGGAGATAAATTGAAAACATTAAATGATGAATTGTTTTCACTACGAAATGAGCTAACTAAACTATATCGAACATCAATTAATGAAATATATGATTGCATTCATAATGATTTTGAAATTATTAAAAGATCTTGTGAAGAAATTGGAAATGAACTAACTGATATCGATAACTTTACGCTTCATCTTCAACAAGTAAATTAAAATTTTTAATTTGAATTTTGGTCAAAAAATTTTTATAATAAATTTTAAAGAAACATGCAAAAAAAAATTTGTTAAATGTTAATATTGTTGTTATAATTAATTGATAATTTTAATGAAAATTTTACATGTGATATTCGAAATTCGTTATTCTATATTAATAATTTCATAATTTGCAATTTAATTAATATTTGAAATAAAATTGAAATATGTTCAATAGATTCTTTTCCATTTTTTACTTAACTGATTTTATTAATTACTCTTTTTTCCCTCTCCGTTTTTCCCGCTCCCTCTCTCTTTTCTTCTTTTCTCATTCTTTCTTGCAGGATATTCTTACTAGTGATATGATGAATGCATTGAATATGTTAGCTGAATCAAACATTGCTGAAATATTTATTGAAGCAATATCAGATTTTAAAAATGGAGAAGTTGAATTAAACAAAAAAATACAAGAAAAGGAACAAGGTTAAATGCATATTACATTGAAATTTTTAATTTATTAAATGAAAACTTTAATTAATATGAATTTTTTTGTTTACATTATTTTTTCTTATTTTTATAATTAATTCTTTTATTTTTATTTCATTTATCTTTTTCACAATTAATCTTTAATTTTTATTTTATTTTACTTTATTTTTTTTTAATTTTCGAAATAATATTAATGTAATAATATTTGAATAAAATATTAAATAATATTGTAAAATAAACTTTAGCCATACAATTAAGTATAAAAGAAATTCAACACGATTTATTACGTATTGCTGATACATTATCAATGCAAATACGACAAATTAAACCGGAATTATTGCATAATATATTACAACAATATATGGGTGTTAATTATCATAACACCGTGCAATACACGTATATTTCCTTTCTTTTTCAGAATTTTACAGATTTAAATTTAAAACATACTTGATTTAATTTTGGAATATTAGGAAAAAACGATGAAAAGTATTACATATAAGTGTGATATATATAAATAATTTTAATATAAATTTTTAATAAATTTTGTAATATAATTTTAAAAAAATCACTAATAATATTATTTATTGGTAATGTTAAAATTTATTGTATTTTTTTAGATGGTATGCTTCTCTAACATTGTGTGCCATATTTTCATTAAAAGCATTTTATTTCTTATTTGCATTATGTTATGGTTGTTTTGGGCGACGACCAAATGGTTATCGAAATGATTGCTGTATTCGTTCTACTGGTAGCAAACTTTTCATTTGGTAAGTTAACCTTTCTTTTTTTTTCTTCTTTATCCTTACTTTTAATTTTATTTCATATTGAAAATGAGAAGCGAATTATATAAGATTGATGTATTTTTATTTTAATTAGCAAAAATTTAGTTATTGTTATGCTTGAATAATAAGTAACAATTGTTGTTAGTTAGATTGTATCTTAACTAATAATAATTACATTACAAATATGATTTAATAGTTTTATTTAAAATTAAAAACTTTTTTTTCTTTTTTTGAACTAATGTAAAATTATACTAGCTAAAATGATTAATTTCTTTAAAGTTTAAATTTAAATTTTTGTATATGATAACGTGTCAAATATTGTAATCTTTTTTTAAAAAAAAGCTAATTCAAATTAGTAGTAAAGAAGTCTTATTCTAAATATTCTCACCTTTCTTTGTTGTTCTTTTCAATTAAAAAGACTGAAAGATAGCATTGCTTATTAATTGTTTTAAATAATTCTTCTTTTTCCTTCTTTTTATTTTGAAATATTTGCTTTTGCTAAACTGCTTAATTTATCACTTTATAGTGGAATTTGGTTAGCAATAATACTATTACCAGTGATATCTGCATTAACAGCTTTTTTGCTACTAATTGGTGTTAATGCTTATTCACTTGGATGTTGGCCATTAGATGATCCATTTTCAAGGCCTGATATGCTATCGGTAAATTTTTTTTAAAAAATTTGTATCAAGTTATTACTCTTCTAAACCTTGTTCTTTTTTTTGAAATAAATACATTATTATTAATATAGAGAAAAAAAAAAAAAAAAAAAAAGGGAAAGGATTATTTTAATTTAATTAATAAGATAATCATTTAATTGATTAATAAAACATTAATAATCTTGTTGTCTTAATTTTTTTTTTTTTCAATTTTTTGTTAGTAATATTTACAGCTTAGTGAACGTATATTTGATGTATGGCGTAGTAAACAAATCGAACAAGACTTATCACCACTAATGAATCAGTTATCATTATCTAATGTGATACGATCATGTATGCGTAATGAAACATTATATCACATATTTGCAATGGATAACAAATATCATTTATATGATTTACGACAATATGGTAAAGAATTATACGATCGTCTAGAATTAAATATTCATGATGCTTTCTCAGATATAAATTTATCAAAATCAATTGGAACATTTGCTTCACCAGAACAACTTATAACGTTGCAACAAATTGTCAATATTACCATTGAATCAAATATTCCACAAATTTCTCTTCAGGTTAACTTTATTTTATTTTTATTATATTATTCATTTTATTATAAATTGAAATCTTTTTTTCAGGAATATATTTTGTAACTTCCTGTTGCTACTATTGTTTTTCCAGCAAAAAAAAAAAAAAAAAAATGAAAGAAAGAAAAGTTGTCTTTTTGTTCATCAATTTTTATCCATTTTATTCATCAAATCTCTAGATATTGTTTTCTTTTTTTACAAATTAAAAAAAGGAGAAAAATAAAATTTAGATCAAAGATAATATAGAGCAATTTGAAAAAATTCCTCGATTGATAAGTCTAATCGAAGATGGCCATGCAAATCGTAATCTTCCACGATCTGTTCAAATAATTGCTGAACAGTGGCGAACATTTCAGGTTAATCTATTTTTATAATTTTTATTTGATTAAAAAGTAAAAAATAAATTAACAATGAAACGAAAATGAAAAAAAGGAAAAAAAAAAACATGCATTTATTAAATCTCATTTATTCTATTTTTTTTAGGATTTGATTAATTTTAATAATTTTACAAAAAAAAAATTCCTATTTTGTATATAACATATTTATATCATTCAGATATGTTTTAAATTGTTTCAAAAATGAGTTAATTTAATAATTGTTTATTTAGATGAAAGATGTAAATCCAACATTGCTAAATCTTGCAAATGGATTAAAAATGCTTATTGAATTAGACGATCGATTTGGACGAATCGCATTACCCAGTGTTGCATTATCAGCCAAATTACAACATGCACAAGCATTGTTATCATCAAATTTGAATGAATTTTTTCGTGCAGCTGCTGATCAATTAGTGCAAGAAATGCAGCAACAAATTGAACAGTATATTGAACATGTTCGCATACAGGTTTGAAATTTAAAAAAAAAAAGAAGAAAAAACGAAGAGAAATGCTTGATAATAATGAATTTTTTTATAAAATTTGAATTTAAATCTAGATGTCAACATTATTAGTAATAAGAAAACTAGAAAATTAAAAGCAATATTTGCTTTATGTTCCTTTCTTTTTTGTATTTGACTAATATAAATTATGATTTTTTTTTAAAAAAAAAAAAGAGAACTCAAAAGAAATATGATTAAAATTACTTCATTTTATAAAATTCTAATGATAAGATTTAGTAATAAAGAAATGTTAAATAAATAAATTAATTAATTAATTAAAAAAAAAAAGCGTTAAATAAATGATTGGTATTTCATGTACTATCATTACAAATATCGTATAATTGATTTGTTATTTATAATTGAAAGGACTTCCGAAAATTGCAATTTAAAAATTTTAAACTTAAAAAACTAAAACAGGAATAAGGAAAACGGAAAATTGATACTATAAATGATATTTCGCAAAAAAAGGAGAAAGAATTTTTTTCCAAAACATATGGAATAAATAAAAGTCTTTTATGATATGATCTGGAATTTTTTGATTTTAATTAATGCTGTTTCGTAGAAATATTATAATGATATGACTAAATGAGATGAATGAAAAATTAGGAGAAGAATGGGACGATGATTTTAATTATGATTTAATTTAATCAATTAATTTATGAGCCATTGGAAGTAACTGAGCTTACAATTTACCTAAATTATTCTTTCATAATAAAATATTAATTTACTAAAAGTTTTTAGCATAAATTTTCTTTTTTTTGAAAAATATTTCTGATCATATTAATTGCAATTGATGAACGCTTAATTTTCATTTAAATTTTAGGTTTTGTAAAGTTTTTCTTACGTTATTATAAATTATTATAATTGAATAAAAGACAAAATGATAATAAAAAGGAATGATGTAGAATGAATTATTTTCAATTTTAATTTTTGAAAATTTTGATTTAATTGTTAATTATATTTATTTCTAACAAAATTTTGATTTAATTAATTGCAGATGTCAACAAATGTATCAAGTTGTATTCCATTATTTAATATTGTCAAAAGGACACGTACGGTATTATGTCAAGCATTTGTGGATCCATTTGTTAGCTTTTTTTTATTTTATTTTTTAAAAATTTTTTTCTTTCTTTCTTCTAATCTTTTTCTTTTCTTTTTTTTTTTACATATGTTCATATCAATTTGTTTAAATTGTTATCAATTTTGAAAATTATGAATCATCATTTATACTACTGTATAAATGATGATTCATAATTTAATTGACTAGCGAAATCTTTCATTGTCAATGAAAGATTTCGCTAGTCAATTAAATTACATTTGTTAGCATTTAAAATCAACGATTAACATTATCAGTCCTTTTTTAAGACCTGTATGGGATAATGTCATGAAACAGGACGCAAATAAAGACCCATTGCCAAATAAAAAATACTCAATTATAATTAATCGCTTGAATAAAAATGAGTGATAGAGAAAAAATAATTTCTTTCAATTTTTCTCCTTTTTTATTATTTATGATTTCAAATTATTGGACTTAAATTTTTATTAATCGTCATCCAGTTATATATTTTTTTAAATTTACTTTCAAAAAATCTAGCAATAAAAATTTTTTGACGCAATCAGTTAATAATCAATATAATGTAAAAAGCATTTCATTATCATTTTAATAACGTAAAATAATTTTAACAAAATTAAACTCATAATCTATTTTTTTTTCTTTTTTCAAAAAAAAAACCCAGAAAATAGAGAAAATGAAAAATTATTAGAATTAATTCATTATGAATTTCAGAATGGCATTTGGGCATCAATGATTATAAGTATTTTATGTACAATACCGCTTGTTGTAATGGGATCTGCAGCATCAGCATTGTATAAAAAGAAACATCCTTATCCAAAATAGTTCTTTTTTTTTCGAAATTAATTTTTCAAATTAATTTAATTTTTTTAATTGAATCTATTTTCTTTGTTTTAGCAAACTATTTTTTTTTCTTTTTCCCGTTCTTTTTTCCTTTTTTTTTGGATAATCGAATTCATTTTTCTATTTGCTTTAATTAATTCATTTTTAGAATAAATGATTGAGATTTTTAGCATTGTAAATGAACCAACAAATACAGATGGACAAGGAGCATCAGGTACACTTGTTACCGATTCATATGATATCAGAGGTGGACAGCAAAAACTGTGAGTTTTGCATGTACTTATCATTAAAGTGTAATCAAATTTCATTTTTAACCAAAAAAAAGAAGAAAAAAACCATCAGTATGCAAACGAACACTCATTTAAATGTAATTTCTTTCTTTTAGTTTTTTTTTTTTTTTGTGAATAATTTAATTTTGAAATTAGCCTTGCTTAAATTAAAATTATCACCATTTTTTTCTTCATTTTTAATTTTTAATTTTACAGAGTGTATCCAAATACTTATGCGATGTATTTTGGTTATCCACCACCTTATTTAAGAACAAGGAGTTGATATGATATTATGTGATATTGTTCAGTGATATTATGTGGAGAAATTATCATTTACATTTTAGAAATATTAGATAGATTTTGGATATTAATTTCTGGAATATTTTACTCTCTTTCTTTCTTTCTTTCTCTCTTTGTCAGCTAGATTTCGAAGGAATAATGTTGATAAATTGTATTGTTTCTTTTTTTAAAAATAAAAGTCTGATAATTTTCTCTTCTTTTTTTATAGAACATGCAGTTGCTTTTCTATTAATTCATTTTGTTTAACTAATTGGTATAAAATTTAAAATTTTGAAAATTTTCTTACAAATATTTTATGAAATTTTTACAAAGCATATATTTGTGATGTGTTAACTTTTGCTTATCATTATGTTTTGTATTAAAAGTTTATCTTTCACCATACAATAAATTGATATCAAATAAATACCATTTCATTTTTCTCTCTTTTTCCTTCCGCTGCTATTGAATATATTTGATATTTATGATATGGTATGATTTATTATCATTCATACTAGTTTTTGCATGATTATAATGTGAAAAATGAAAGACGAAAGAAAACATCCTGAGCTATCAAATCAATAAATGAACAATTAATTAGTTAATGTGACTGTTTAATGAATATTTTAGACATGAAATAATCATTAAAATTAATTTAATATATAAAATAAACGAACAATTCCATTTTATTTTTAATTCATTTACAATTTATAACATGTTTTGTTCCTTTTCTTTCTGCAGATTTTATGCTTAGATTTTAGAATTAGTTAAAATGTCTTAAATCAATCGCTCTTGTTTTCAGCATTTTTAAAGCTAACGAATGACATTATTCAAATAAAAAAAGGAGAAAAAAATCATAAAATAAAAGACAAGAAAATGGATGAGATGACAAATGAATTTGATATGAAATATTTGAAAAAGGAATGAATTTTTCATTTCAATATTAAACATATATCATTTTCATGCTTTATCAGATGTTCCGGAAAGAACAGTCTTCTTTTCCTCTCTTTTTTTCTTTTTCTGCTAGAATCAATACTGTCTGAATTCTGAAATTTTATGTATAGTTTAAAAATGATGCAGAATAACTTTTATAATATTCTTTTATTATAGCATCCAAATTATAGAGGAAAAGAAAAATAATCATTTCATTTATTTATGTCTCTGTCCTCCCTTTTTTCCTTAATTAGTAAATTTAATATCAAAAAATAAAGGCAAAAAAAAAAAAAAGATGTATTAAATATATTTTATGTTAATTTTTTCTTTTTTTTTCTATTATGGAATTTATTTGCTTAATTTTAGCAAAATTCCGGAAATGTTGTTCAACAACGAAAATAATTTCCAAAATATTTTTACACTCATTTATTTTCCCTTTTCATTCATTCCTGTATTTGCATTGAAATGATTCAGTTAAACCAAAAAGAAAAAAGTTTCAGTACAATGGGGAAAAGAATTTCATCTCTTTTCAAATTAACAATAACAATTCCATAAAAGAGGAAGAAGAAAAAGAAAAAAAAACCCCAAAATTCATTTCATTCTCTCTCTACCCTCTCTCTCTTCATTTTCCTCTCTTTCTTTTTTCTATTTTTTCTCGTTATTTCTTTTTTCCGTTTTTCTTTCTTTTTGATTTTTTGCTTTCTCTCTCTCCTCTGATCTTTTATTTAAAAAAATGTTTATTGAAAATTTATTGTTATATCAAATGTGAAATGAGGTTAACTTATATATAATGTTGTATTACATTAATAGCATTACTCATTTAATCTTAAATTAGACCAGATCAAATCAATAATAGTTAATTTTATACTTTTTATTTTTATAATTAAGAAGTAACAAATTACTACTTTTCTCATCTTATAGAGAGAAGACAAGATGGACTGCAAGCAAAATGAAAAAAAAAAGGTGGAAGAACAAAAGAGTGGGAGAAAAAAGAAGATTAAAAAAAAACTTCATGATGATTCATTTTTTTTTAGCTTGTTTTCAAGTTTTGTATAGTATTGAATTATTGTTTGTAATAAATGAAAAAAAAAAAGAAAAAAATAAAGTATACAAAAAGGGATGGAATGTACGTATGTACGTATAATGCTGATAATAAAAATTGATGATTTTTATATGTGAAATTATTACTGGGCTTCTTTTTTTGATTTTTTTTTTTTTTGACTTTTTTTGATTATATAAAATATTTATGCTAATAGTAATAATTAGAAATTTAGGAAAATGATTATTATTTAACAGGGATAGTTTTTTATGTTTTTTTAAATCATCTTTCATGCTTATATTTTATTTTAATTTTAGTATTTAATTTTTTCCCCTATCTGTTACAAAAAACAGAAAAGAAAAAAAAGGAGAAAAAAATAACGAAATCCTAAAGGAAGAAAGAATTGGAAAAAAAGAATACCAATATAAAAAAATGCGTTATGAAAATGGTATAAGATTAGTAAGCACAATTGACAATCATTTCTATCTCGTTTTTCTTTTTTTTAAATAAATTATTTCGGTGAAACTTACATTTGTAGTGAAGGATTCACAAAAAAAAGAGAAAAGAAAATTACAATATTTCGAAAAAAATTAATTTAAAAATCAGATCATTAATCTAAATGGATAAAAATAATTAGGTAAATTAGCGTTGCTTTTTATTGCATATAATAACCATACATGTATATCTATTATTCAGTAAATCTGAGAGAGATTCATCATCTTAATTAAATGAAGCAAATAATACTAATAATTCATGTGAGGTAATTTTACTTTAAGAAAAAATTTAAATTTAGATGTGATAAATTAGGTGAGATAGTTTTAAGAATTATCTGCAATCATTATATTTTAATAAATTTGTAGAAAATTTATAATTCACCATAAAATACTTGAAATACTAATAAACAAAAAGAAAAAAAGAGTGTCTATCATTTGGAGTGAAAAAATAAACAATTTTAAAATGGTATTTGCTGCAATTTCATCAAAACAATAAAATAATATAACTTTGAAATTCACATGCTGTGCAATTTTGTACTTTAAAAAAAGACTTATAAAATTTGCAACATATTTAATGAATTTTGATAAATATCCCAAATGATTTGTAACCTAAGCATATATCAATCAATTAATTAGCGACAAAAATAAAAAGGCAAGAAAAAACAAAAGAAAAAGGATGCAATAGCATTAATAATATATCAATTCATTATCATCCAGATTATTTGAATAAGTGTAATCTTTGTAACTAATTATATTTTAAAAGAGAAAAAGAAAAATGAAAAAGCAAAAAAAAAGAGAAAGAAAAGATCATTTTCTTTTTGTATCTTTATTATTTGTTGCTTTTTTTTGAAGCAATTATTTATTTATTTTTATTTTTTTTGAGAAAATAAAGCAAAAATATGGAAAGAAATGAATGATAATGTAAAAGAAAAAAAAATGAATGGGAGTGATGCATGCATACAATTAATTGCATTCAGGCTGTAGAAAAATTTTAATGGATAAAAGAAAATGAGAAGGGAAGAAAAAAAAAGTTCCCTTCTTTTTGATAGGATTAAATGTAAGTTTAAAAAGTATAGAGGTATACAGCTAAAAAAAAAAAAAAAAAATCAGTAACATCTGGCATATGTAAATAATAAATAATATGTATCAATATAAAATAATATTTATCTTAAATTATCACATTTCAATATTTCATCACAATTTAAAATTTAATTATTTATAAAATATATGCACTTAATTTTAATCTATTGCTTTCTCTCATCATTATCATAAAAGAGAGGATGAAAAAATGTAAGAGAGGAAGAGATGAAAATGTGAAATAATGTTTTTCGTTAATATTATCAGTAGTTGGCACAAGCAGACACCTAAGCTTAAACACTTTTAAATGGCATCAAAATTCCTCCTTCTCCTCCTTGTCCCCTTCCTCCTCCTCTTCCTCTTCAATTTCTCTCCACTTATCACATTCATCCACTTTTTTATTTTTATCTCAGCTCGTCCACATTCTTGTTTCATTTAATCTTGATCCTGCCGCATTTCATTGATGTATGACAATGTTTCTATCATTGGCTTTGATAGACCACCATGCCTTTCAAGTAATACATACATATATATATGTGTCTGTGTTTGTGTTCTGTGTATGATTATGTCGGTATGTATGTATATGTATGTGATGAAGGATTTTGGTATATTGAAGAGGACGTTCCTTTGTATTATTGAATATTTCTCCCAGTTATTGATTTCCCCGTTCTCTCTCTCTCATATAAATATTCATTTGTTATGTTTTCCTTCAATCCATTATTGGTATTATTGATGGTAGCGATCTACTGCAGGGAATATTTAGTTTGTAATCTGACTGTTAAAATTAATCTTATCAAATTTAGTATTAACTTATTTTCATCAGTCTAAACTGATTGACTGATCAATTGTTTAATTCTTATCAATGTATACTGAATGAGAAAATCTAGTTTTTTTTTTTCTGAAATATTTATTAGAATATTAGAATATCATGAAAGATGATGTTAAATTGAAAAGAGAAAGGAAATATTGATGACTGAAGTAAGAAACAGGTATGATGACATTATTCTAATATGGGGGTCATCTTTTATGAAGTGATAGAATTTTCAAGAAGGAAGAAGAGTAGATGGGAATGAAAAGAAGAGAAGAAAAACGAGAAAAAAAAAGAAAATTTCATTATTATATAGTGGTGAAGAGGAAAATGTTGGTGAATTGAGGGAGGACAGATCAAAAGTTATCCTTTGCACATAGCCGTGTCCACTACGACGTATTCGTTAGATATAGGTCGTTCAGATTGGTTTGAGTAGTATTTGTTGAGAGATCAGATCAAGGATGAAGTTGTTATGGTATCGGAAGTGACAACTGCAACGACAGCGATGATGATAATAGTTGTATAAACACGGACGGAGATTGCGTTGTTGACACGACGTGGTATCTGTTGCTATTGCTCGATAATCCAATCGTAATCAATGTCATCGCCATGCAGTCACTTATGATCCTTACGAAACGTGTGGTGATGCCTAGTAGTGATTTCGCCTATCTATATATAGGTATGTGTGTGTGTGTATGTGTATATGAATGTATGTGTGTGTGAATTTATGTATGTATGTACGTGTTGATAAATGCATGTTACCGGTGTGAGGTAGCACACGGTCAACCCGTAGATCCGAACTTGTGTTGAGATTTTCTTCCGAACATGAGGTCGGCATTCGGGTAGACTGCGTGTCACCATATCATTCCAACCTTTTACCTTTCCCAAACCTATCATTTTCTAATTTCAAAAAAGCTATTCTCAAATACTACTGCTCCAATGCTAACGACCCTGAATGATAGCTTGCTCGATGAGGTAGTAGGTTGTATAGTTATGAGTTGTACCATAATCGGAGAAACTGTCCAGCCTGCTAGCTTGCCGTGCGGGTCTATCATCCGTCCCCAATTTGACCATCATCCTTTTATATCAGTTCAATGAACTTTATTTCGATTACTTCATATGATCAACTTATCTATATGATTCATTCAGTCCAAGTTATCCATGAAAAAAGAGTATATATATGTAAGTGGCGTATTATAAGAAGATGAAAAGTTTTTTCGATAATATAACTTCTCTAATCTCTTCATTTCCTGATCGCTATCAATATTAATTATACGGTTTGTATTTATCAGATGCTTATCATAAAATTTATGATGATTAGTTACTAATCACTTCTGTCTTTTTTTTTATTCATTTCTCAATGGTCGTATTTTATCTGTAATTTAATTTTAAACTTTCAAGAAAAAAAAATTGGGGAGTTTTTTCCCTTTTTTTTTGAAATTGAATTTCGAAAATAACGAAATCTGGAAAAATGGATGAAAGAAAGAAATTCATTAATCAAACAATTCAATAATATTTGTTGTAGAATGGAGAGAAAAGGTTTTTATTCTTAAAAATAGGATAATAAAGAGGAGAGATATTCGATTGAAAATTAATTTTTAGATACCTAATTGTTGATCGTACTATAAATATTCATTATTGCTCATTTACTTGGTTTGATAGTATTAAGGTGAAATTCGTATGATTTAATTGAAACTGGATCACATGAAATGTTTCATCTAATATCATTTGTTATCGTTGTAATTGAAATAAATATTTTTAGAAATATTGAGTTTTGCATTACATTTTCATTTACCTCAATGAGTTGATTACAAGAATTTGATCTCATCCAATCATATTAAATCAAATGATTAAAAATTTTAAAAATTAAAAAGCTATTAGCAGTCATTGAAGAATATAATATGCTAGAATTATTCAATTTGTTTATCTAATCTTTTTTAGATTTCAATATCAATTCTTTAATTTTTACATTTCTGGATTTGTAATGCACAATAATAGTTTTGATTGAGTGCATATTTTAATTGCTACATCATTTTCCGTTATTCAAGTCACATGATCATAAAAATTTTTTGATTCGTTAATTTTTCTCTCTCTCACACACCTTTCTTTGCTTTTACTCATCTCTCTTTCCCATTTCCTTTTTTTTTCCGCTAATCATAAACGATCCGGGAAGTTTCTCATGAAAAATTTTTTTTGTTCTCAGTGTTACGGATGAAAAAGAAATGATGAATAATTTTAATCGAGAAATTACAACAAAATCAATAAATAATAATCACAATTAAAAACTTGAAATATGATCCGAATGTCAATAAGATATATATATATATAAAATTGCTTCATAATTGACCTTTAATGATTATCATTTTTACTAGATATTTATATGAAAACAATCCAAAATATTCATGTTTAACATTAACTTGTTAATGAATGGCAATTTCTTAAATATCATTGATAATTATAGCTTCTAAAAAAATAATTCCAATTTATATAAGTGCATTGTTTTGTTGTCATTCTTGCTATAGTATTTCTGAAAATATTAAACGTTATGTTAGGAGAAATTAAATTTTCAATTAGGAAGAATACATGAAGTTTTCACTTTTGTTTTTTATTTTTTTTTACATTGTAATTATTGTTTACTTCACTTCATAATTTTTATTTAAATAATCATTATTTACATGTATGATGATAAATCATTTGACATTAAAATTACTTCAAAATAATCAAAAAGGTTGTAATACATTGTTAACGGTGAAATTTTTAATCAAATTAATCTGAACAAATCATTAACAATTGGTAACATTGATGATTTATTAACTAATCAATGTTTATCATTCTATCATCCAAAATGACAATGATGATTTGATTCAAAATCAATTAATCTTGAAAGAAACGGTATTAATGATATTTATCAATGATAATGAGCTATCATATTCGTTTAGCAAGTTTTTTCTTTCTTTTTTTTTTCTTTTTTTTTATTCAATTTACTAGATGATGTTAAATTGGCACAAAATTTTACAATGATATTTTTTTCTAAGTATTGAAATTTTAATTATGCTAATTTTTCTTTCTTCTTCGTCCTTAGAATATTTTGCATGGATTGAAATTGAATTATCAAATGGCATCATATTGAACAATTTTTAATTTATTTGAAAATTACACCAAATTAATTTGAATTTATGCATTTTTGAATAATTATTGACAAAACAAGAAGCAATAATTGCTTGATGAAAAAAAAAAAAAAAGAGGCAAAGAAACTCAATTAAATTTTCAACAAATATTTTGCAAACCATTATTTATGGACTAGAGCAGTAATATTTTGAACTTCATATCAAGTAACAAACATTTCTTTATTGATCAGTAATGTATTGTTTATCTTTCCTACATTTTTGTATAAAATAAATTATACATTTTCAAATGCATAGAGTGCAATTTTAATATTTAGATTTTTAATCATTTACAGGCATTCATTCTCAAAAGGTTTATGCAAATATGTTAGGAAAATGCTAGATTAATTTTGATTTTTTAAAAATTTTTTTTAAAACACAAAGGCATTTTTGAACAAAAAAAAAAAAAAAAATGAGAATATCTAAGTTAAACAAATGTGAAATTTGATCATTTTGTCTTTTTTTATCTTTTGCAAAAAGACAATATGAAAAATTTTTTTTTTTTCAGAAATGAATTTAGTTAGATAAGAGCATGATACACAGTCTGACATGCAATTGTAAGTTATACTCTTTAAATAATCATTAACTTAAAATATATTACTTTTCTTATGCTATATATTTTACTGTTAATTTTGCAACTATATTATTTTCTGGTATTTTGCATAATTTAAAATTTTGAATTTGCTAAAATATAGATCATTTATATTGTTTTACCATTAATTTATCAGAATTATTTCATCTTTCAACGTTTTATAGATATTATGGATAAGAAGAAAAAATAATTTTCATTGATTTTCATTTTTTTTCTAATGTAAAATGTAACTTTTAACTTCTATATCGAGTATGTTGAGAAGTCTACATTTCAATTGCTTAAAATAATAAATTCATTTTTTTATTACTCAAAGTGTTTTGATAATTCATTTTTAACAAAATCCTTATGATTTTTTTCGTTTTGTTTATTTGCTATTATATATGTGAAACTATGTATATAAATGAACAATTCCATTCATTTTACAATCCGAAAAAGTATTATTTTTTTAGGAAAGATTAAAAGTAATTTCAATATATTGTTGCTAGTTGGAATAATTTAAAAGTATTACATGCTTTTGCTGATAATGCAGGTAAAACTTTTCAAATGAAATTAAAATAAAAATTTTTTACAAATTTATCTGACTGAATAAATTTAATAATACAAGCACAAAATTTATTTTTTTAGTTGTATTGAGATCTCGGCGAAAGTTCATGTAGAAAATTCGTAATTTTTAAAATATTTCAAAATTTTAGTGTCATAAAAAATTTTTGTCATTATATATGTTAATGATAAAATTTTCAATCTGAAAAGAATATTAATTTTTAAAAAACTAACTTTTTAAACGCACCTCTCTGTCGATATTTCACTTCCTCCATATTTGGAAAATGTCTGAAATATTAGATCAAGACAAAATAATTGAAAAAAATTGCGTTTAAACACTGTTAAATTGGTAAATTTTTTGAGAAGTGAAAATTAGCAATTTTTTTTTCTTTTTTCTTAAAAAAAACTCAACATGCTACTGTGTGACAAATAATTCACTCGTTGAAATTATTTATATGTCTAATCAAATTCCAATATGTCATTTTTTTTTTTCAATTTTTTGTTTAAAAAAGTGCATGATTTCTCGTTTCTCTTTTTTTTGTGTCATTTGGATTAAATTGAAAAATACTGCAAGCATTTTTCTTGATGAGTGTTGTTATGAAATAAACAAATCTGAAATTATATTTATGGTGAAAATAAAAGAGGGAAAATTTGTTAAATGTTTAAATAAGAAATGATAATTTAGATGTGCAAATATTTTTCACCCAAATTGTATTCTATATTTCTTTTTTTTTGTTTAATGATGTTGTTGTTGACAATTGTGACATAAAAGGAGAAAAAAAAGAGATAGAATGGTATATCAAATAGCCTACAAGTGAGAAGTGAGAAAAAAACTGAAGTGTAAACCGAAAAACAGTGAAATTTCAAAAAAAAAAGTACCTTAACTAAATAAAAAATTTTGATCATTTTATAGATACTGACTGCAGAAATGAATGCAAAACAAAAAATAAATTAAATTAAAATTCTATCAAGGAAAGAGAAAAAGCTAATGGAAAATAAAACTAAAGTTAGTAAATGAAAATGTCTCATCTTTGTTTATTTTGTTTTTTACTTTTTATTTATTTATTATTATTCATTTTTTTATTTTCTTTTTGAAAAACAAAATTCCATATTGTTAATCTTGATTAATTATGATCATGAAATCATTTGCATGTAAAAATGATGATATACTTCCAAATATATTCACTTTTATCAAGATTCAGCTTTAACAATTTTGCTCTTTTTCTTTGCTTTAAAGTGAGAGGAAAAAGTTTAATAATTGGGAAGAGTATGCATAACATTAATTAGATAATAATAATGATGAAATAAAAAAAAAAAAGAAAGAAAAATGGATAAAAAAGAAATGATAGCTAGCTGAACCATTCTAGCTAGACGATTTAAGTCAAAGTTAATAAATGATACGAAGGTTGTCTTTGTCATGAAATTATGACTTTTTGCTCCGTATGTCCTTTTTTGTATAACCCATAATAATAACTATAATCAACGAAATTTCCTTCACTTCTTCTTTAATACTGGAATGTTTTATCTTTTATTAATGAATGAATAAATCAAATTCATAATCAAGTCAAATTTTTGTTCCTGAACAATATATTAAGTAAGGATTTTTATGCTTGTTTTTTTCCTTTCGAAATAAAATTCTTTAATCATGGTAAAGTTTTATGACAACGAGTAGGATGGCAAACGAATTTTTGATTATCACAGATGTAATACCCTCATATAGTTAATTAGTGCAAAATAAAAATTTTCATATCGTCTCAGGTGTTTCATTTCACGGACTGCCTTTAATAATCGATTTGAAATTTCGACATTTTTGGGAAAGTGAGAGTGGGTGCGCACGAACAGGATTGCTTGAGTTGGGAGGGTTGGAGTAGGTGACGTGAAGCGAGATGGTTTGATTCATTATCCATATATGTGTTATATATGTAGAAATGACATTATTTTATGTGTGTGTTTCATGTGAAAATGGTTTAGAATGAAGTTTCATGAAATTCCCATACTACGCTTAGTATTTTACAAGTATAGATTATTTTCATACATGCGTTTTAAATTGCAGGCCAATAACTTAGCTGTTATCGATTTTGATTACTTACACTCTTTTATTTATCAGTAATCTTTGTGAATATCAACTTTAAATTCTCAGAATAAGGAGACTGCTTTAGGTAAATGTATTCAGATTTTAACGTAGTACTTGTAAAATGACGAAATAATATCCGATTTTTGGGATGTGAATTAGTCGATATTCATTGGAAGATTTGGAGAAACGTAATTGGTGTGATACTTACTTTTTTAAATCGCATGGTGATAGGGTTGATATCAAGCAAATTGAAATGGTTCCTACAAGTTTTATGATCGGTGCTATTTTGAAATTCAGACAATTGAGATTGAGTTTGGATATGTATTTTTTTAGGTTTTGCCCTGCTTTACTGTCGCTGTAGAGACCTGACGAAGCAACTGTGATGAATCGTGGTAGTGGTCGTGATAAATTGTAGGTGTTGCTTAATACAAAATTTAATATAATAGTCTTTTGAAGATGATGTGATCCCGCAAAATATAATTGTTTGTTTGCAGTGGTGGTGGTGGTAGTCGAAGCTTTGGTAGCCGAGGTGCTGGCAGCAATAGCAACCGAGGAGGAATGGGCAATCGAGGTGGTCCACGTAGCTTTAGTGGTCGTGGTGGTGGGCTAAGTAGTGGTGGCCGTTTTGGTGGTAGCTTCGGCGATAGAAAATATGATTTCGGTAATAACTTAAAGTCCCATTTTTCTATTTTATATATATACATCATCATCAGCTCACACTGATTATATATTCACATATAAGAATATGTAGCATCCCTAAGTATAATAGGTTTTAAGATGTTGAATTTTAGGAAGTCGTAGCGCTTCTGGTGGTAACAGCCTTCGCCCAATCGATTGGAGTCGTGAAAATCTTCGACCGTTCGAAAAGAACTTTTACCGTGAACATTCTGCCGTCATGCGTAGGGAACAGGTTCGTCTTTCTATGGTATAAATAAGTTAAGGTTGTGGAAGAAAAATGGGATCAATGGGGAATTTGTGAAACAAAATATTGTCATATAATGTTAATTGCTTTTAACTGGATAAAAATATTTGTCGTCGCTTCGCATATGGCAAATTATGGATGTAATAAATTGTAGATATAATTTAAGAGCTTGAAGTTTTCTGACTACTGCTTGAAATTTATAATTATTTTCAGGTTGAAATAGACAGATGGTTTACGGATAATCAGGTTACTGTTGAGGGAAACGATCTTCCTCGTCCAGTTTTTGATTTTAAGGAAGCTGGTTTCCCTCAGGTTCTCACAGATATGCTTTTTGCAAATTTCCAAAAGCCAACAGTTATTCAATCAATATCATGGCCAATTGCATTGAGTGGTAGAGATATGGTTTCAATTGCTAAGACCGGTTCTGGAAAGACTTTCGCGGTACTTACCTTTTTAGTCTCTGAAGTTCGGAACATCTGATTAAATGATTTTTCATATGTTATTTATCTTTGATGTGGAATTATACTAAAGCCTCTCCGTTTTTCAAATAGTGGAGTTTTTTCAGTTCATTCTTCCGGCAATTGTCCATACAATTAATCAACCACCGCGAGGCCATCAGAAAAGTCCATCAGTATTAGTGCTTTTACCAACCAGGGAATTGGCTCAGCAGGTCGAAGAAGTGGCTAAAGATTACTGCAGGGCAACAGATCTCTCGATAACATGTTTGTTCGGTGGTGCACCAAAAGCTACACAGGCTCGCGATCTTGAACGAGGTTCAGATTTCCTTGATTTTGCTTGGCAGGGTTTTGAACATGTCCTGTCGTAGTGAAAGCCATGCACTATGAAAATGTTTTAAGTTATTCAACCGTTATAGGGGTTGATATCATAATTGCGACACCAGGCCGTTTAATGGATTTCTTGGAAATAGGTAAAACCGATCTTCGGCGATGTACTTATCTTGTACTTGATGAGGCTGATCGAATGTTAGACATGGGATTTGAACCTCAAATTAGGAAAGTTGTGTCACAGATCAGAGTAAGCTTTCATTTGGCTCTACTGTCAGTTAACATTTGCTATCGTCAGGATTGCTTTGCTCTGAAACATTTTGGAGTTATATAATTTCAGCCCGATCGGCAGACATTAATGTTTTCGGCAACTTGGCCAAAAGACGTTAGAAAACTAGCGATGGACTTTTTGACGGATGCCGCACATCTGAATGTCGGTTCTTTGGAATTATCAGCAAATCATAATATAACACAAATTGTTGAAATTATTGATGAGTCGAATAAGCAGCAGCGTCTCATGGCTATTCTTAGTGACATTATGAATAAGGTATCATTTTATAACTTGGATAATTATATCTTATATTGATATGCCCTATAAAGCTGTATGTAGATATTTATTTTAATGAAAGAAGTAAGCAGATGTGCATTTTTGTTTGTAGTAAGCTTTCACTTTTTTTTTTATTTTTTTTTGTAGCTCTCAGTTTCATGCGAAGTCTACATGTCTCCTGAGTACGATAGTGATTGAAAATAGAGAGCCAACAGATAACGTGAGATTCTCGGTTACATGCAACATAGAGAGTAGATTGTAACACCTACGGGTTATGCATCAGTAGTAATTTGTGAATTTTGTAACTTCTAACTGCTTCGCAAAGATTGAATGTTGCTGAGGAAGATCTTAGTCGTTTTTAAAGGAGTCGAAGAGCACACCAACAGACAACTACAAAGGAAATGCATGGCGAAATAATAGCCAGGTTCGAATATCGTGTTCATCAGATGGAAGATTTGTTTAATACGAAGTTTGGATTCGCTCTTTATTGCACGTTCATCGTTCAAAAGAACATTGTTTTAGGAAGATTGTAAAACCATAATTTTCGTGGAAACAAAACGCAAAGCGGATGATTTAACACGTTGGATGCGGCGAGACGGCTGGCCTGCTTTGTGTATTCATGGTGATAAAGGTCAGTCGGAACGTGACTGGGCTCTAAGTGGTATGTTTTACTCTTTTTTCTTCGGTTATAATTGTTCTGGAGAATTTTACATGTTAGGAATGAACTTTGAAGTTGGTTGTTTCCTTGGTTTCTCCTCAGTCATGTCAACTTTGAGCTTGTTGATCATTTTTTCAGAATTTCGAAGTGGGAAAACTCCAATTCTATTAGCAACTGATGTAGCTGCTCGTGGATTAGGTAAGTTACTTTACTTGAGACGCTTCGAAAGCATCATGCTTGTGATGGGATTAATGTATGCGACAGGCTTACATCAAGAATATTAACGAGACTAGCATTCGGCGAGAGTATTTTGATATGTTTTTTTGAAGTTAGCTGGCAGTGGAAATAGAATATTCTCTTGTTACATGCGTGTACGTATTCATTGAGCTCTTAGCAATAAGGAGCGGCTTTTAATAAGAGCAAAAAAATCTGCTCTTTCGCTCTTTTTAATACATTGTGTTGTTTTGGAAATTTAGGACATAATGGTGTAAAGTAAAAGAAAATACTGGTGATCTGGGATGAGGAAGCTTTGTGCTTGTGTTATGGCTCTGGCCAGTGACTGCTCTAGTGTGCGCATAAAATGACATTTCAAAGTTTTGTTTTTTAGTATTAGTTCTTTTCTGATGAATAAGTATGATTTCCATTATTCCTAGCCATAATATAAGTTTCTTATTATTCAAACCATAGCAGTTGAATTTTGTAAAGAAAACTAGAAAAGAATGAAAAAAGAGGTGAATGTCATCAGATTCACGCGCAAACAGAGGGGTCATTGTTGCTGCGTGTGCAGAATGGTCGTCAGCTGAAGGGAGGAAGTGGTCCGCGGTAAAAAAAAATGAAAAATTGGGCCGCATCGTACCTTTGCAGTTTGGGCCTCTCAATATTTGGAGGCTGGACCACCTGTTGCACACGCAAATTCATCGACAAGGGATTTATTTGTTATGGATTCAGCTGCCACACGACACAGCTTCCTCAACTTGATTACAAAGTGACGCACTTGAGAATCCAGGTTAGATTTCTCGCCAATCGATTCTCCAAGTTATTGTCACTTTCCAGCGTTTTATTAAGGAATAAAGTAGAATGCACCATTTATTGCAAAAGATAAGTGCACATTTATTTAAATATTTTAAGTATGAGAAATCTGGGTATTGCGTGGAAGGTCGGATAGTTTGCTTGGGTAATTTATCACTTTATTACTTTTTGGCTTATGCGACAAAGACGATTTGGTTTTAAAATAGGCAATTCATCCACGGAATTGTTGTGACATAAAATTAGTGTATAATATAGTGCATTTGTTGAAACTTCAATTTCGTGGACCTTATCTGCCGATTGAGTACTTCGGTTTCAACACTGATCATTATGTACGGAATGTATGTTGAGATGTCTTAACTGTTGAATTAATTTAGTGAAGTTAAACTCATCGACTATCCGACTCTCCATGTATATACGCCTGTATTGAGAGGTTTTTTTTTTTTTCATAATCGAAGATCACTCATGTTCATTGTTATTACATACTCTCGTTCAACGAATGCTATACCGAAATTCATAGTGATTAATTGTAGATTTAATGGATAGTTATAAGATGTGGTGGTATGTTGATTTTAGAGTTATGTAAATTTAAATTCAGATGTTGATGATATTAAGTACGTCATAAACTTTGATTATTCGAATAATTCGGAGGATTATGTGCATCGTATCGGACGAACAGGACGACGTGATAAAACTGTAAGATTTGCATCCATCGGAACTACCTGATCCGAATTTATGCTTGTTTAATGACGTTTTTTGAAAAATCCAAGAGTACGAGAAAGAACTTGGTTCACTTTACAAATGATTGTTTCAGGGCGTTGCATATACGTTCTTCACTTATGCAAATGCTCCAAAAGCGAAAGATCTGATAAAAGTTTTGGAAGAGGCAAATCAAAGTATACCTCCAGAATTACACCAAATGGCTAAGGATAACTTCAATGGAGGACGTGGAAGGTCAGTTACGCTTGTACTAGTTGGTGAGGCAGTAATGAATTTAAACGAGTCTGATATTGAACCATTTGACCAAGTTTGGAATGTAGGGATTGAGGGTCCTGTCAATCCGGATGTTTGGTTTCAAGTTTTAGTTTTTCAATTTCGTACTATTAATCCAGTAGTTTTAGATATGGTGGAGGTTATAAACGAAGCTATGGCGGTGGTGGTAATGATTTTGCCAAGAGGCCCCGATTTGATGCGACAGCACGATTGGGTTATGGTGATGGCTGGTGATGAATTTTGCACTCCATCTTAAATACTTCCATTTCCACAAGTCCAATACCATCTTACCTCGTTCTCCGAGATTCATGGGTCAAGCGTTACACGACCCTTAGGAGCATATTTCGAAGAGACATATTCGAGGATCACAAGACAATTTCGGAAGTGGTTTTGCAAGTTTTTTATTCGTAATTCATCGTAATTGTTTTTGTGTTTATACATACATGTTACTGTTAAGTCTTGCTGCTCCGCAACACTGAATCACTAAATGATCATTGAATTTGTTCCGTTGTTGTAATTGTATTAATGGATTGTCTTTTTGTTTTCAACATCATATGATTATAATTGTCTCTGGTATTGAGCTATTGCTATGATAACGTAGCTGTTGATGTAAAGCCAGAGGATTTGTTTCATCTATTTTGCTTGCCAAAATTGTTTCTAAAATTAACTAAACGGATATGACAAAGGGTAGGTACCAACCAGTCAACCGACCTCCAGCACTTAAAGACTGGGAGAAAGGGATGAGTGTTGCATTCCGTAACAGTTTGAGGATCTTCCAGCTCAGAGAGCCCAGTGTTAGGCTTATGTTGCAAATGTGGTTGAGATAAAAGTTCTTTTCACTGTTTACATACACAGCAGCAATATCAGTCCGGATATTCGCGATAATTGAAACCAGCGTGAACCAACTGTGGCATGCGATGTATGCCTGTTTGTCCGCTTTGCTGTTCCTTGGTGAGGGTAAATGACTGCATTTCTTGTGGTGGTTTCTCTGGCACCAACCTGGAATGAAAACTGGGGGAAACCAAGAAGTCAGCGGACTGCTCCGCCCGATTCAACGTATACAACCGTTAGGAATGGTCCGGACCCTGAACGCTATTTTAGTCCACTCAATTATTGAAAGATTATGTGTCACTGCCTGCTCAAACTTGTCAATGATTTAAAAATGTAGAACAGATAGAAGTTATGTACGTTCTCGGTGGCGGTAGTCGTCGTACTTTCCGGCCCAAATAGCCGTCTTTCTTTTGGAACAAGCCACTAGCCATCTTATAGCCAAAACGTCGATGCATTTGTGCTGAGCCAAAAATCTTGTCGTGAAATTCTGCATGTGACAGTCTGCCAACTGTAGCCATGCATTCCTTTGACAGAACAAATTCATGTTTGTGAGGAAGCTGAAAAGAAATGACAATTTTGACACTTTAACATACTCAGTGTGTATGAGTAACAGCATATCATTTTCAAATGTTGTCAGCGTTTTGAATTGTACACTACACGACATACTGAAGTATGAGATCAGGCTTACTACCTATATGTAAATGATAATAAACTTCAAAACGTAGTCCACTATAACGGGGACAGATTTCCAATTTAAAACTTTAATATTTGATTCCAATGATTAAGTTTGCTAAAAATTTAAATTCAATTAGAACTTTATGACTCGAAAATTAAAAAAAAAAATTACTCTAATAATAACAAAATCTCCTTGATGCCTGATAATTTCAGCGCATGTGCCGGCAGTGACAATAAAGACATCGTCATCTGTTGAAGGGTATTTTCGTTCATTTGGGAATTTTTCCACTGAATTAATTATGGAACCAGATGCCAACGCTCCTAATGGATATGCATTACCTTCTCTTCCTACAAAATTATTGAAATTACAGTAGCTTCATAAGTCTGTCGAACTGAAAACTGAATTCTGTTTTGCGAAAATCTCCTAACCTTCTTGAGGACTTTCAGGTACGTAACATGTCGTACTAATAATTTGTCCAGCTTTCATATTCTCCGTTGCTAATATCCAGCGTTTACCTTCCCAACCAGCAACAAGTGCAATAAAACATGTCCTGTTTGGATCTCGTCGTACTTCAATGACCTTAAAAACACTAGAATATTTGTCTGTAACGAGGCAATAATATCACTAGCCTAATACTCAATATATAACTAAAGTTGTTAGTAACTGATTTTTCTGATACTGAATCTTTATTTTAATAAACTTCCTACACATTAGAATTTTTCTTCGCAACAATAACTAAAAGTTCTAGAAAAGAAATTGGTAATAAGAAAAAAATCAAAATTTTTATGAAGCTAACTATAGTACAAAAAATGTCTTGAAAAAATCGTTACCCGTTCGTCATAAGTTATACCAGGCTCTTTTGGTCCACGTCGATGAAAATCAACCATGAAATAGTCGAATTTGGTGCCACCACCGATATGCTGATTAACTTTTCGACCTAGTAAAAAGGATAATTTCTTCTAAACTATGTAAAGTCACCTTGTATAAGACTGAAACATTTAACATAATAACCTATGATACCTTCAAGTGAGCTTTGAGATACAACAGTTCCATTAATACCGTAGTATAATACCCTTGTATATTTCTAGGGAAGAAAGGATGTTTGGTTAAAGAACGACAACGATAGAGCGTACAAAACTCAAACCTGTTTTGGGATCACGTCCACCAAGGCGATGTAAAACTAAAGGTTCATGTGTATATTTTCCTTTTGTCTGCTTTTTTAGATCTTCCATATCCCAAAGATATCTTGGTAAAGGTTTTGTTCCACGAGCAGGCATAAAACGTTTTGAAAACATGAACAAATGCGGTGATAGGTAAACGCAACGTAATGCGTTTCCCATACTAGTTTGCATTGCAGAAATCTTCAATAACTTCAGAATCAACGTGTTATAAAATATTAATTAACTTATTAATAGCGTGATATATAACGCTTAAATAAGTCCTTACTTGCCTCCGAGTAAGATTCTATGGCAATCCATGTATATATCAATGGTATAAAGATAAGGTGAAAGAAATCACGAAGTATTTACATCATTTGATTGGATGAATTTTTAATCAAAAGTAATAAATTTTTATCAAATCTGACACGTTAATCATACTTCAGGAAAGATAAAATAAAAAATTTACTGAAAATTTTGCACTTTCAGATTAATCATGTGATTATTTTACTCATCAAAAAAAAAAAAAAAAAATCAACTATGGGTCATAATCCAATTACATGCTTGTTGCAACAAGCTACATCTAATTAATATTATATGAAGCAGAAACAAGGATAAATGTTTGGAGCAATTCTATTCCCCGGATCATACATTAAAGAAAATGATATATTAGAATTTAATGACTTGTCCGTAAAAATTACTAGTAACAGTATCAGTGCTTCATTTTTGCAATAAGTTTTCATCCGAAATCTATCTTAAATAAAACATTAATGATGAATACAATCATTAAATTACTGATATAAGTCATTCATTTAAAAGAAGAGAAAAAATGAATTACCATAAAATAGTAAATAATATGAATACTCCGTAGCAAAATATCCAAAACAAAAAATGCATTTACTATTAGGATTAAAGTTTAACATTTTCAATGAAAAAATATTCCTCCATACATAATTTCTTGAAGTATTTTCAATTAATTCAATGAAGCTATTTAATTCAACCTCATATTTTGTACTGCTGATAAAAATACACTGCATTTTCTTCAAAGATTTGGACCAGTAAATGAAAAGAATAATAAGTGAGTAAAATACTGCTGATCAATAGTTGAAAATACTATGCACCACTGCATATTTGATAAGATCTAGAAACACACAGAAGCAGTAGTAAAAAATTTCGATTCTTCTTTTTTAAGCATTTTCAAAAGACGATCGACATGTGCACTTGCTGATGCACGCGTTACAAATGGGCTTAATACGCAGTGCAGTTCGTAATTCGAGGTAACCTGGAGAAAATTTCTTTTTTTGCAGTATAAAAAATAATTCAAACATCTTTCTTAAGTTATAATAAACTTAAAGTAGAACACTACACTCAGTTTCTCGCAAAGTCTCATCAACGGATAGATTGAAATTACTGAATGAGGAACATAAATGTTCTTTGAAAGAATTTTCAGCTGTGCTGAAATATTAGAACGGTTATAATATTCTTGTAATTTGTTGTGATTCTAATTCTGGTTAACATAACATATTACAGAATTTGAAACACTTCTACGTCGCTATTACGCTTTATGGTTCAATATACTTAACTTACCATCATATACAGCGTATTAATTTCATAAAATAGGCTTTCAATACTAACCTACTCTGATTAAATTGAAAGTGCTTTCAATAATAAGTCAAACTTAGTTCTGAATGAAAAAAAAAAAAAGAAACAAATAAGATTACACTCGACAGTAAACAACATTCGGGCCTTGTAACGAATAGGTGTCTCAGATTAGGTGTTCGCATCGAATAACCAAACATTTTTTTATAATATTCTTGCAATTTCCAACGTTCACTTTTACTGACAAATGGCAATGAATGTTGTGAACAACATATTTGGCTTGAGCATCGATTTTTGTACGTAAAATGCCATAAATCCGAAGGAACATCCTGCAAAGATCTTGCACTTCTTGGAAAAAGTTCAAATTTTCATCAATATCTCGAATTTTGAAACTGGAGATGATCACTTTAATATTTTTGCTTGCAGTGCTAGCTCATCAAACAATTCAATTTTCGGTATTTCATCACAGAATAGAAGTGATAATGAATCAGCAAAGAAATTTATTTTCGAAATATTCAGGGGAAGAATGTTTATCTACACGTTAGCTAATCAAACTACAGATCTCGTTCAAAAAGTCTGGCATCGATTTTTGTACGTAAAATGCCATAAATCCGAAAAAACATCTAATACTAAGTTGATAAAAAACTCTAGGTCAGTTCATGGAAATTATTGCATTGGATGCGGACGATTTCGACGATATTATCTTCTATTGAACTATCAATCAAAATCATCTCATTATTTTTGTATTGAAAAAAACTACAGCATATATAATAAGAATAAAACACCGTTTGAATATCGAAAAAAGAAGGATTCGCCACAGCATTCTTTAATGAAGCATGTAGCTTCGATGAACGTAACTTAGTAATAATCATATCTTTCACACCACGAAGTGTCTCAAACGCGCCGCGTTCCAGAGATAATAGCATCAAGCACGCACTACTGTTTTCCCAGATAAAAGAAACATAAGCATAAAGGTATCCCCTAAATTGTTTCGAATACAAATTACAAATAATTTTATTAAAAGGAAATAGGTGTGGTTTTGCATAAAAACATGATATCATTTCCTGTCATGCAATAAATATTTAAGTGAAACTTCACCTGAATCATGCTAGATGTTTGGGAATGCAACATCTTACACAGAAGATTGGTTGTTCGTTGACAGATAAAAAAAAACATGAAAAATTATGTACCAAGAAAGAAAAAGCAAGTCATCTATAGAAAAACCTACGTATCATTAAACTGTGGTAAGCATATAGGTATCCAATTATCGGCATTCTTTAACGATGGATTACAATCAATAAGATTGATAAGAAGATGCAAATCGCATGGATTTAATATAATACCTTTCATTCGAACTACCGTGATAAGCTGCCGGTTAGCTACAACCAATCCATATACAATATTTTTAACCTAAAATGACATTACTGAAGACAAGAGTGGAGAATATTGGCTGCAACAAATTAAGTTTCCTTCGAATATGCAGAAAAATAAAAGTGAAATCTAAACAACTTAACTTTGCATTGTTTACTGCTGATATAATTGCACTTGTGAATTGTTCCCTATCTGCAAAAGTCATAGGAAATATCCGAATTGAACGCATGAACACTGCTATATCATTCCTATAGCCGCACACCATGGCATTTAAATGTCTGTCTGTGCCTGAAAAGATATTTTCCACAAATATGCAGCATATAAAAGAAATGCTGAACATTAATGAAAATATTAAATCGAAGTAATAATGAATGCTTTAATTTTTCTAACAACTATTTATTATGGTTTAAGAAAAACTATTTTTGATACACACAGAGGAGTTCATAAACAGCACTGAAAAACATATACCTTTGAGCATAAATCGAAGATCAAAATTAGCTCCTTTAGTTTGAAAAATCGAAATCAGTTGGTCACGACAAATTATTGAAAGCATCTAGAATGTGAAACTGCTATAATCATACATCTTCAAGATTCAATCTTCTTGCCATTATAATAAAACATGATAAGTTAGTGAGCTTAGATATTATAGCATTTCAACTTCAAAATAAAAATAAATTATAAAATATATTCTTCAACTTTTTTAAATTAGCTGGAAAAAAGTCACCTGTTTATAAACAAGATCCACCTGAGCATCCAGCTGAAACCCGTCACGTGAAACAATACATAAAATAAGTGGACTTCGATAGGAGAAAGAAATCTGCATATGAGCCGAACGAATCCGTTTAAGACTATCATTCCATGAAGTAACAACCATAACAAATGTTTGAATGAGTGCAATAAGTGAACATAATTGCTCTTCATGCCCACACGATGCAAAGATTGGTTTGCCAACTTCCGACAACACAAATACCTTAAGAATGAACAGAAACACTGAAAAAGAAAAGTAAGAAATAAGTTGTATTTTAGGTAAAAGTGCTATTGAAATTTTTTGAATAGTACCGTAAATTCACGACGTGATAATTCATCAAGCAAAGCTTCATCATCACATTTGTTTTCCTCATATGGTTTATCATCAACTGTTCGTAATCCCTGCAAAATTTTCATTGTAATAAAAGCATACATTTCCTTGGAAATGTAAACTGGAATTTAAGTACCCATAAAATCAACAGAAAACAAACTCCTGCGGTTTTGTCGAGATCAACATCAAGTTCTTTGTTTGTTTCAGGTATATTTGTGCCGCCAGGCACTGCTGATGTCAATTCAGACTCAGAATCCAGCTTCGCTAATCTCACCGTTCGTCAACGTCATGTTACCAATAATGACACAATTCCAGGTACTTGAAAAGTCATTTTTTATAAAAGTAATCTTCCCAGGACTTTGAAACACCTTGAAATTGCAATTAGAATTCCTTAACTTCCACATATATCTTACTTGCAAGCGCCTCTTCCATCCAATCATATTTAATCGTTAATCCTTCCACTTTCTCCAAATACTTTTCATATAAGAAAATTTAAAACTTCAATAAATCATGTTCTATACCGCATAACTAAAGACACAGCTGGAATTCTGAAGTTACTCGAATGAGAAAGACTGCGAACCACAACAATCTATTAGCTAATAATGAATAAGCTATCTATACTACCAATGGGTTGAAAATTAAATATTATACATTATAAAATGCTCAAAATAAGAATAATAATATCTCAATAATTTCACATATTTGGAATGTAAAAAGTTAGGTCCAGAATTGCGCTACATTTATTTATAAAATAAATTTCATCATTTTATGGCATCATAACTAAAAGATTGTAAAAATAAAACGAATGTTCCATCAGATGATTAAAACCCCCAATAAAATGAATAAAATTATAACAAATAAGCAATGTGCCGAAATTTAATAGTGCATAACATTTCACATACTTAAAATGAAACAATTCTACTCTTTTCTTAGAAATTCACGACTTCATTGTTCTAAATGCCCTATCACACTTTTATGCTCGAATACAAATATCCTCAGTGCCGAGGAATGGCAGCAACGACACTATAATTTTTTTTTTTTTAAATTTCTGTAAAACACAACTGCAAATTTTTGAATAGAACTTGCACTATTGACATAGCATCTTTTGAATTCATACTACATCAAGCCAAAATATAAATACTAAAAAATAATACAATAAATTGTTTATATTATATCTATTTACATTTTACTTATATTATTAAGCAAAAAAATTAATAATAATAACATTGAGAATTCCAATACTTGTCCGCCCCTCTAACGTTTTCTAAAATTTTTACAACAATTTTATAACATCTCTAATTCTAAACTTTCCAGAAGAAAACCACCTAAGCGTTAATGTGTATCCGATATGACAAAAAAAAAAAATTATAATAAATATTTTCGAAATGCTAGCACTGGAAAATTGACACAGTTAAGGAAAACTTTTAATTTTTTAGTTTCTAAGGAACGAGTCAGTTCACTCGCCTGTACGTGTATCAGATCAATTGCCATTTTTCTCCCGTAACGTCTGAATGCTCTGAAAAAAAAAAAAAACATGAAACCCCAAATCAAGAAAAATATACTTAAATCATAATAAAAAGACATATTAGAGGAGTACTCTTATTGTTAACCCAATTCCTTAAAAAAGCATCGAAGCTTAAGAAGAGTTCTAGCATAATATCCCGGCGTTAAATTCAAATTTATACTCACTATCGTCAATTCATAACGTGTAAATAAGTAGGAAACCAATCTAAGAAATGTCATACCAGCTGATGAATTTGACACTTGTGGACTATGATTAGTATCGCATAAAGTATGCATCAAATGCGCAATCTCTTCACTTTTTTCAATTACTTCTTTTCGCAATAAGCTATTCTCTTCTTCGTATTTATTTAACTAAAAAATAACAATTGATATTGAAATCCATCAAATTCTAAGCCAATTCACAGCAAATCCACTCTACTCTTTTTCCTTCCTCTAGAAAAATATGGTTGATAAAATCTGCAAAAAACTAAGAAGCACTTACAAGATCAGTGGTCTTGGCAAGTTTCATTCGCAAGACACTAAAACGATTAATTAATCTTGCATTAAAGGCATCTGAAACTGGTGATGAACTTTCTTCGTCAGAATCCTGTAAACTACGCCTGATCAATTATTATCGAGGAATAATGAGACAAGAAAATATCGTGAACATTGCTATAAAGATTAAGTTTTGGTAAAGAGAATAATGTGGCTCAAATGTCATTTCATATTTTAGTACATTATGATCCTTACAGATGATGGAAACTTTCTCTTCTGAACCCAAATGAATGCAAGTTATAATGACAATTTTCAAACATACGTGATTGAAGGATCTTTTGAATTCTGGCAGAGATGGCCAAGAGCAAAGGCTGGATTCTTCATCATCTTTCACTTTAAAACAATTCAGAGGAGTAGATGGTAATCCAGCTACTTGCACCTGAGCGTTATCTACAATTTATAAAGATTTGTCACTAGTCCTACCTCAAGAGAATTCTAGCCAATTTTAATTATGAAATACTATAAATTAAAAATGATACCAAACAGAACATAATGCCGCAGCATCTATTAGAAAAACTGAGTTGCAAACTTAACACTACTCTTAAAATATATCACTCCAATCTTTAAATGATGAACACAAAATGTGATGTTGCAAAAAAATTCACCGTGGGTACAGACATTAGCATTACCCATGCTAAGGATATCGTCCAAGCGTTTTTCGGCTTCTTCAGCGCGTTTTTGCTCCGACCGCACTTGATATGTTAATTCTTCCATTATTGAATACTAAATAAAAAAAGAAAAAAAAAACACAGTTTAAAACTAGCTAGTACCCAAAAATGATTGTATCATGCAAATTTGATATATTTCAAAATTTGGTGTAGAATAACAAAATCCACATCCAACTGAATGGAATAGATAAAGTTCACGAAAAAATCACCATACGTAATAGCTCCATTTCTTTACTAAATCTCATCCCGACTTCATATCCATTCACATCTTCTCTCAGTATTTTTTTAACCACTTCCAAATTTTGAGCTACTGAAGTTTGTTCCTACAAATTGTAAATCAATCACCAGTAAACTTAGAATTATATTTAAATTACTCAAAATATCAAACATCAGTTTTTAGAGGAAACTAAAAAAAGATCGTAAAACTCCAAGTCGTGAAACTAGCCCAATTTAAAAGAAATCTATACTTCTTCTTTGGCGCACTGCAACTCGAGTACGCGTATCTTTAATGCTTCAATTTCAGTGCAAAATCCTTGCTTCATTTCTTTCCAAGCCGCTTCTTCCGCTATCTTTTTCTCCTAAAAATTTGTCAATACATACTTATTTAACTGAAGTAATAAATATCTTGACAAATGCATACAAGTACATCCATTGAAATGAATTAAAAGAAACAGTATGCGAACTGTAGGCAAAGTTCAGCTTGTAATTACAGTAAGTCAAACAATTCCAATGATATCAAACACTAACAAATCAGCTGATACGAATCAGTCACAAACTTTTTCAGCTAAAGCCTCAGCTTTTGTAGTCTGCAACTCCATTTCAAGAATGTTCTGCAATTCTTGCCTTTCTTTCAGTAACACATCCTTTTCAGAAATGACTTTCTCGATCTCACGCAATCTTTCACATTCCATTTCCAGACTTCGTATATATTCCTGCATTCATCATTTATACTTACTCATTTATATTTCAGACTTCTAGAACATGCTATGACAAAGTTATTTCTTTTCCAAAATATTTCAACATAATTTTATCATTAAATTCTTTATTCTGAGAATAATGTATAAAAACAATGCTAACTATTACGTACTTGTAAATCATCAGTTTGCGACTGCCCATCAGAAGTAATAGCTTGTAATTCTACGGTTGCTTCTTCTTTTCCTTTAAATTGTTTATCATTCGTGTATTGTTCCATAGCTTCTTGTAATTCGCGTTGCAAACTTGCTGACCTGATAAATGAAATCAATTCTAATTTAGCGTTATCTTGTTCAGTCAAATTATAGAAGAAAATATCTAATTGTGTTGCCTTTCTCGCTCCATGTCGATTCCTTCGACTATCACTTCCTTCGATAGTAGCAGCTTCTGATTAGAAACTTTTATCTGAGCTACCAGTGAGACTTCTTCCGTAAGCACTTCTGAAAATGAAACAACTCTTTTAATATATAAACTGGATGTTGAACTATAATTTACCTTACTGAATCTCATTAATTCAACATTAACTCATCATTTAAAACTTCGCAACAGAATCAATAACAGCCTACTATAGAGAACAGACCTCTATATGACGAGATTTCAATTTTAAATCTGAATTCTTCATTAACTTCCCTACATTACTTTTACTTTGTTCTAGAAAAATAATGTATTAAACATTGAGAATAACAAACAAAGTAAACACAATTAAGTCATACAATTTTGATATATTAAATTCCTCCACATTAGAAGCAACAAATTTACCTACGAGACAAAAAATGAATACCTCCCAATTCAGTGGAGTCACTAATCTCTCCGTGTTCTTCTGATTTCATTTCCAGAATCTCACACTCCTTCACAATCTAAAACAAAGCTTCACTAAATTGCAAAATATTCAGTGATACGTATAAAACAACGCTGAACGGAAACAGAAAAGAATGGTCAATAAACTTTGTGCTTTAACAGCTGCCATAAGAAATTTCTTTTTTTAGTAAAAAATACTTAAATCAAATTCATGATGGGTTTATATGGAACTGAAATAATTCACATCAGTTATACAAAATTTATAGTGAATTCTTAGAAAATAATAAATATTCAAAGAATGGAACCGAAATAAAAATCAGTATTAATCAAAACATCGGAACAGTGCCTCATTAATCCTTCAGCATATTTTGTGAACTTCACAATCCAACCTGTAACTGTCCGAAGAACGATCCAGAAAAGTAGCATTCTACAAGGTAACATTTTATAGTCTTTTATTTCATTCGCCTCCCCTCTTTCAATTTTTACCTCCACTTTGTTCGGAGATATCTTCATTCTGCTTTACGTTCCCAGTCAGTATTTGAGCAACAGATCCCGGAATTTGGTTCGTCATGAAAAAACGACGATTTCTAGCTAACAGATTGAATTAACTTCCCACTGATGGGGCTACTTACTCAGTATATGATGTTGCTTTGGCATCAAAAAAAAAAAATGAAAATAAAAAAGAAACAGAACATTAAAACAACAAATGTAGGGTAAACATAAAAAAGAACACAGCCGACTAATATAAACCGGTTAATGATGGAACTATATACTAGTTAATTATGGAAGTTCAATCTACTCGATGAAAAAAAAAATGACCACTCACATCGCAATCAACTACTTACTTATCATACACTAAATACTTTGACATTCCAGTACAATAAATAACCCCATTCAGCTCTGAAATCACTAATTGCTGCAGTCGAAATTCTCTTCCTGTGATAATTTACGTTGCAGATGACAAATCATTCACTGGCTTTTCATTTAAATTATCCTTGTCCTTCTAACGACAAACAAGCTGAAGTTTTCTAAATAAGCACCCATCCTACCTCGATTAATCACTAGAAATTCATCCCGGTATAGATGTTACGTTCATTAGGTTCCAGTTTCGCAGTTTTTTATAATGTTAAGATTTTGCTATCCTTTAGATTATACGATTCATTCCATAGCCAGATACTGGAGACATAAAATACCACTGAGCCAAAGATAAAATTATTATAGTCTTATACAAACATTGGTAATGAACTCCTCCATAAAGCTTCTCAATTCCTGATAATCACAGTTTCAGCAAATATTTGTGAATGAATTCATTGATAAAATTCCTATGCTTCCAGTAACTCTGAGAAACTCGTAATTCAATTATTAGCCAAATTTCCATGTGAAAATCAACCAGGTCGGTTGGGAGCTTCAAAATTTATGTCTTAGGAGTAAATAACAATGCTTTCGTCCTTTGGACATTAAACTACCAATGTAATTCTTTTGACGTCTATTTTCTTTCAGTAATTCATAGTTACGACTATATAATTCCAGGAGCTGTCCTGAAGACGATAGAATTCCTCTTCGGATATTGATCTGCTCACATTAATGACTGCTCTATCCTTCAGTTTATCATCAGCAGGAATATTATTAACATCAGATTTGTTTTGATATACAAATACTAATAAATTTGTAATTATGGGATAAATGTAACTAGTTCTAATCGATTTGTGATAATTCTATCAACTTCATTCCATCAGCATAACTCTTCTGTTTGTAATAATAATTTCTATTGTATTAACCAAACAACAAACAAAAAGCGAACCCCCTCACTACCAGCTAATTTCCGCGGTGAAAGGAGACCACTGCAGCGAATTGTTCCTCAACCTCTTCAGTGACTTCACTTGAGTGCGGACGTAATGAAAACTGTTGTCTCAAAATTGACTTTATATTCGCTGAATTGTTTAGTTTCCCTAACGAAAGGGGGTTGTGTTTGCGTAGAAATGAAAGAAATACTTCGTCATAAGTTTGTCACTCTGATGGATGACTTTTTTTGTGGCCTGTATCTTTGCTTTGTATCAAATGAAGGAATTTGTGATTTTGATTTTCCGTTAATGATGCTAATCAATCAATAAAAGATATTTTGCAACGGTAATGTTGTTTATATAACTAAATGATACAGTGATAACTAGGAGGAAATATTTTCAACAAAATATATTTCCGCTCTATCGTATTATTTTTACTAAGATGAAAATTTATATTTGCAATCATTTGTTGTAAATTTATTTGTTACGAAAAAGTTCCCGTAGTTTGTATCAGTTGCACTTTTACTACTAATCCTATGATTCAATTTATCACTTACGAATTTGTCGTTTTTTCAGTGATAAATATAATATTAGCATCATGTTTGTGAGTGATAATATTTTCCACTATTCAATGATTGTTAATTTATTGAAAATGAAGTGATAACAGAGAGTATTGGAATGATTAGTGTAATAATATATGTTAATAGATACAATTTCGTTCAAATTACTATCAACAAATTTCTTTTTCAATATCAAGTCAGAAACCATAATGGAAAAAAGAAAAAAAAAAAACGGAGAAAAAAAAGATTCAACAGTAAAACCAGTATGAGGTAATAAATGATATGTATGGGAATATTAGCAATGTATCAGCTAATTAAAAAATTTCCAAATATATATGTGACAATGTCATTACAGCCAATATTTAATTATTGTTGATAATAGGTTCACGTGGAGGTCGACGAGTTGTTGACGTAAACGGAGCGATTGTACCTGGTATACTTGATCGATATTCCACAATGAAACCTTTCTGTTCTTCGGACTCATCCGTAATTAGAAGTAGTAGTAAACTTCTTCCAGTTGATGTAAAAGATGATGGTAGCTTTGAAATTTTCTAATTTTTTATTGAAATATTTGATGAAACTATTGGAAAGTAAATTGGAACAGTATTAACACATTATGGAGTATGTATTTATGCATTGGATAAGATTTGTAGGGAGAAGATATCGGTATTATCGATGAATCTCTTTTAAAAGAATTTAAAATAAAAGTTCTTTCTACATTTTTATGAGCCTTTATTTTGCTTGCAAAAAATCATGAGAAGATGACTATACGGGATAGTCCTAATATTTGTTATATTTTATGATGAGAATTTGAAATTATTACTTTCAAATTATTATAAAACTGAAACTATTACTTTATCGCCACAATATCGAGCTACGCGATATTCTTCCAAAATTTCATATCCATCATAAATCTCTACGTAATCAAACTCGCAATTTGCCTCACGTTCTAAATCAAACTGAGCAAAACGAATGTTTACACCACGGTTTGATTCTGCTACAATTCGCCATTCACATCTAAAATCGAAATTTTTTTTTCATGCATTTTTTTCATGCATTTTAATTTCATTTCAATTAATGTACAACTAAACTATACAATCATATCTCTTATCATTTGATATTACGATCATTTTAAACTATTTTCAATGTCTTTTGTATGTCTTTCCTATCTAACAGCAAAAGATAGAGAAGGTAGCATTGAAGCTGGGATTCTTATCTTTAAATTAGCATATAAGTAAAAATAATATATGTGTAATTGATATAAATTTTCAATAATATTAGTTTACCTCATTTTCTTCTCGTATTTACCATCACTATAACGAGCATGAGAATAAATAAAACCAATAGTTTGCTCAGCTTTTAAATTACCACCACATACTGAAATTAAACGATAAAGTAAACTGAATAGATCATGATATCATGATCAAAATCCTTCAGATTGAAATATTTTTGATAAGCTATCTCTATAAATCAAAAAGTACAACTCATTTAAATTTATACAAATTAGAATTCATATAAGAATTACTACCTGTTAATGGCCAATTTTTTCTTCAACTTATCACATAAGATAAGCATACATTAAATGCTTTTTTCATAATTCATAATATCTAAGTAAAATTATCTAAAATTAATCTAACTCAACCAATTATGCATATATAACAAGAGTATAAATTATTTGATATACTTGAAGAATAAAAAGCTTTAAATCCACGACGATTAACGCTTGCATCTGTAAGCATTGTCATGAATAACTGATTAGCGGTTGATTGTAAATTTGGTGGTATATCACTACCGCAAAAAATTCCCAATGATGTAGCATCACTGTTACCACCGTCAAATATCTCGATATGATCATATTTGCATGCATTATGTTCTTCAAACATGAATTCTTCAAAAGACTGTAAAATATTTTTTTTTTTCTTAAATTTATAAATTGGTAGTTTTTTTTTTTTTGTTTTATTCCTTACCTTTAATATAATATGAACAATACTAACAAGTGAGAGACGATGTCCTGGCGTAGTTACAAAATGCCAGTTGCAATTTTTTCCTTGTGGGTAATTAAATGGATAATTTGGTGAAGTAATTTCACCTTCTGGATCATACACCTGTAAATTACAATCACCTTCTTTACAATTATGTCCATCATCTGCCAAAACATAGCCATTTTCACATTCGCATTGATATGAACCTGAAAAAAATCTTTTAACTCCTAAAATTTGCATATAATTACACAAGATTAAAAGCTATTTATGCAAGAAAAAAAGGGCAAAACAAGAATTAAAAAAAAAAAAAGAAAACTACCAAAATTTCCTGGAAATCTAAATCATTCTATCTGATTAATTTGTAAATTAAATTCATCAAACTTTTCAATTTTTAATACTACCTATTTATTAATTGCAATATTAAAATTTGCAAATAAAAGAAATTTTACATAAGATAAAATTTAATAAATGAAACAATTAACCAATTGTATTTGTACAACGTTGTTGACAACCACCGTTATTATTACGACATTCATTCAAATCAGTGATAAAATATGCCAAAAAGCCATTTTTTTCAATCTGTAAAAATACAAAATATATTATTTAGGAAAGAGAAACTGCAATAATTTTATCATTTATTTTCTGTCTTCTTTATTAATTTTGATATTAAAATTGTTTAAACTTTTGTCAAATTATTTTGCTTTGTTAA